AGGTTTGATTTACAATCTATACAAAGTAGTACAAAAGCAGCAGATTCAACTCCGTTCCACAGATTTTTCCCTACAGTCGTCAGGTAGGATGTGCACCGACTTAAGGAAGGAGGATGCTTTATTTTAACTTTATAAATTTTGTACCTGTCTTCAGGGAAGGATGAAAGACCGAACAGCACAGTACTGAGTTTCTCTGTGTAAACTGACATATGCAGGAATGAGAAGAACACACTCCAATGCTTGTGAAATACTAAGGAAATATTTGGATAACCTGAAAACTGGTTATTTGAACTCTATATTGCCCCACACCTCCTGAAACATCAAAGAAATATACAAGTAGTTCCTTTATACTAAATACTCCATTTCACTGGTAGTTACAGAGAGTAATCATACCCTTTCATTCAAAAAAATATATATTCTGATCATGCTTTTCTCCTTCCTCCAACTCCTTCCGGGTCATCCCCATCCCTCATCCATATATTTTTTTAAACAAACAATCAGAAATCTCACATGCTTAACTTTTGATTTTCAATCACCTGTTTAATGGGTCCAAGATGGGGAAGAGGACAAGAAGCCAAAAGAAATCAAGTTCTACACATGGGCAATCTTGTCCATACCCTCAGAGACTAGAGATCTATTTAGATTTATATTGTCATGGCTGGGGAGATGGATTGGTAGTTAAAAGCACTTGTTGCTCTTGCAGAGGACTCAATTTAGTCCCCACCACCCACACAGTGGCTCACGGCTATCTGTAACTCCAGCTCTGGGGGATCTGATGCCACCTTCTAACATTTGCAGGTATCAACTACACACAAGGAGTACATATATACATCCAGGCAAACATTCACACACATATCTGTCAATCTAGGATGGATGGATGAGGAAGGAGTGATGGAGAGAGAGAGAAAGAGAGAGAGAGATTAATTTATACCTAGGTTTTAACCATGACTACAACTTATAATGTCTTTGGGACTCTACAACTTACATTGTCTTTGATTCCATTGTTTGTTTGCTTGGTTGTATTTGCTTTGTTATTGTTTTGTTTTTCTTTATATCTTTAACCTCCAATGTATGGTTCAAAGGCCAACATCACAGCATTACATAGGAGTTTGCTACACATGGAAGCACTGTGGGGACCACATCCTAGGCCTGATACATCAAATCCTACTGTAGCTGGAGACTCTCTGGTCTATACTACTCTGAAAAAGCAATCTCTCTCTCTCTCTCTCTCTCTCTCTCTCTCTCTCTCTCTCTCTCTCTCTCCTTTCTCGACAGACGTCTTAGTTATTATTTCTATTGCTGTGAAGAGACACCATGACTACAGAAACCCTTATAAAGAAAACATTTAACTGGGGTAGCTTGCTAACAGTTTCAGAAGTTTGGTCCCTTATTCATCATGGTGGCTAGCAAGGCAGTGTGCAGGCAGATGTGCTGGAGCAGTAACTTAGAGTCCTACATCTTGCAGGCAACAGGAAGTCAACTGAGCAAAGGACACATCAAGCTTACTCCCACAGTGACACACTTCCTCCAACAAGACTACACCCACTCCAACAAAACCACACCTCCTAATGGTTCCAATCCCTGTGAGATTTTGGGGTCAATTATATTCCAACTACCACGACAGATGAGTAAGAAACAAATAACAAAGACTGTAAAAGAGGTTTGTGTATGACACGATCATGTCATGTGGAAAATCCAGTGGGGTACTCACAGCCTCTCAGAACTAATCCACTACCACCCCCAAATCTTCTTTGTTTCATAGACTAACAATGACCAATCTGAACAGGAAATTAGGAGACAGTTTGATTTATTGTAGTATAAGGGATAATAAAATAGGAAGAAATTTAATGAAAAGAGTACAAGATTAGGGCACTGAACATTATCACGGCTGAACATGGGGGAGAAATCCAGAAAAAGCCTAAATAAATGGAAAGACATTCTACGAATATGAACCAGAAAATTAAATAGTGTTAAGATGGCAACACTAGAGGCTGGAGAGATGACCCAGTGGTTAGGAGCACTGGCTGCTCTTCCAGAGGATTGGGGTTTGGTTTCCAGCACCCACATGGTGGCAAACAATGATATGTAACTCCAGTTCCAGGGGAGTCGATACCCTCTTTTGGTTCTGTGGACATTGCATCCACGGTACATAGATATACATGCAGGTAAACACCCATACACAGAACATAAAATTTTTAAAAAGAAAAAAATATAAGAAAGTAATAGTCCTCCAAATATCTAGAGATGCAAAGTAAAATACTTGCCAGGATCTTCAGGGCCCTATCTGAAGAAATGGAAGGCCAATCCTAATGCTGATGTAAAATTGTAGGACAATCTAAACACCCAAAATGGCCAGGGCTTGTGATGGCTTGAAATAGGAACAAAGTAAGAGACTTTACACTTCCAGATTTCAATTTTTTTCTTTCAAATTAAAATAGTGTGGTACGTCAGCATATAGTGGCTGTATAGCTCGTAATTACTCACACAAATTATTCAAATAAACCTGCAGGAAGTTCTACTGTACTTCCTTTTCCCATACTAGAAAGCTTCGCCGTTGCCTTTTTCCTTTAAATAGTGTTCCTGTGGGACCACAGCACTGGCGCCTTTCACAAGATATTCTAATATTATTTATAGGAACCCAGGGCCAAGATCACAAACCTAGTTTATGAAGTCAACCACAAGTGGAAAATATTTTCAATGGCTTGGAAAATCAGATTAGATGACTCATGGAAGACGGGTTGGGTCGTGAAGCTGGTGGATGCGAACACTACTGGACCTAAATACAGGAGGTAACGATTTTACACATCACGCTCAGAACTGTAGAGACCACTGCTAATAAAGGCCTTCATAACGACTGTACTCTCATCTGAAAAAAACAGGGGGAGCATGGGCATGCGTGACTAACACTTCTAAGTCCCTTGTAAATTTCAGCACACATACAAGTTTTCATAGGGGAATTGTAAAACAGACTCCGGCTCTAGGTTTGATGGGGAAGCTGAGAGGGATGCTTGCATAGCATGGCTGTAAATCTCCCTGGAAGATGCAGATTAATAACCTCCATCTCTAAAGAGACTATGACCCACCTCTAAAGTCACCAAGGTTACCGGAAGCATTTTCTTCAGCCTCATTTCTCTTGTGTTCTCAGGTAGAGTTTGCAGTGCACTCTCAACTGAAGAGAAGGCTCTTCTGTTCAAGAGCATCTCACTGCTCATTGGCTCTCAACTGCAGAGAAGGCCCTCTTGTTCAAGGGCATCTCACTGCTCATTGGCTCCTGTTCAAGGGTATCTCACTGTTCATTGGCTCCTGTTCAAGGGCATCTCACTGCTCATTGGCTCGGGGTAACAAGTTGACTTATGATGCCATCTAAGGATGACTTAAAACAATCCGTGTTCGCTATTCCCTTCTCAGTTATATATGTGGAAGGAAAATCATTTCCATATTAAATAAAAATGGCATAGCTAAAACAATGACTCACGCTCCCAAGGTTCTATTTAAACACCCTCAACTATTTTAGCACACTCTGGAACCTCACTGAAAGCTGTAAAAGCTACTCCACTTCTCAATTTGAATGTACTCCAGCAGGAAACAATGGCGCCATTTCTGTGGCTTACTTAGGAAAAAAAACTGACAAGACTGAGGGCCACAGTCCGTGCCATCCAGCTCCCTGCTGGCCAGCCTCACTGCGGGAAGTAGGGATACCCACCTTCTCTATGAACCTTTCATGAGGTTCAGAAATGACCCCCACTCGATGCCTTATTTCCAATCAATTCTCTCTGAAAATGACATCCCCCGTCCCCTCTCATGGCTGCACACAAACATGAGTTTAGAAGGCAATGTGCTGCTTCCTATCTGGGACATGTAAAAAATTTGAATCGTTTCTCAGACAATAAGATTATTGAAAACCCACAGGTGAAAACTGTCTGACTTAGGGTTTTTATGACTGTGAAGAGACCATGGCAGCTCTTAGAAAGGAAAGCATTTAATTGGGCCTGGCTTAACAGCTCAGAGGTTTAGTCCGTTATCATCATGGTAGCAAGCAAGGCAGCGTGCAGGCAGACATGGTGCTGGAGGAGCTGAGAGTTCTTACACCTTGATCCCACAGGAAGTGGCCTGAGACACTGCGCATATCTTGAGTATGGGAGACCTCAAAGCCCACCCCTATGGTAATATATTTCAACAAGGCCACACCTACTCCAGTAAGGCCATACCTCCTCATAGTGCCACTCCTACAGGCTTATGAGGGCAAATAACATTCAAACTACCATTAAAAAAAAATCTGAAAGTTTGCCTGATGGGTGGAAACATTTGGGGACTACTACTTACAGGTAAGTGCTTACACACATATATTCCCCAGGAATTCCTAAGTTTCTTTTTTAAGAGATGCCCATGAAAATGTGGTACAGAGGAGTAAAGTGTGTCCAATGTTCTGAGTGAGGATACAGCTGGAACTTAGTGTATCCAATGTTCTGAGTGATACAGTAAGAACTTAGTGTATCCAATGTTTTGAGTGATACAGTAAGAACTTAGTGTATCCAATGTTCTGAGTGATGATACAGCTGGAACTTAGAGTATCCAATGTTCTGACGGATACAGCAGGAACTTAGAGTATCCAATATTTTGGGTGGTGAGACATGAGAAACTTAAAACTGCTTTTGTTGTAGTTTGGTTTTAGTGTTTCATATAGAGAGATATAACCCATCATAGCATGATAGTCATGACAGTATTTATGATTTGTGTGTGTGTGCATGCACACACACAAGAACAAGAAGGATAAGAAAAGAAGAAGAGGAGGAAGAAGAAGAGGAAGAAAAAGAAGTCTTACTGCTATTCTAGAAGTCAGTGGGCGGTGGTACCTAATTCTCTAATGATTAGTTCCATGAAATCAGTGGATTATTCAACGCAAATAGTTCTTTCTCTTGATACCCAGTATAAATGGCTGATTCAACCATATTTGAAGAGAAATTCTATTTGCATTTCCCACTTATTCAACTGTGTCTTACCTTAGCTCTGACTTCCAGGTCTTCGTGCTTACGGATTAGCTCCTTGTTGTCAGAAAGTGACGAGCCTAGACTCTGTTCCTGCAGATCTCTTATCGTTTTCTGGAACCAGCAAGTGACCTGGGAGAGGTGAGAAGAAAGCGTCCGTGCTTACATGATCGGGATAAATGATTAAAACTCAGAGATAATTCCAAAATACTTCAAAACCAAGTATTTCAGTTTCTACAGAGACGAATGTATACATATGAAGCTAATATCATCTAGGTGTTTAATGTTCTTTTTATTTCAGCCTACAAATGCTGAAGAGAAAAAAAGGCAAAACAATCCCAGAAAAATCACAGGGATCACTTAGCAACTCCATGGATTATGGAGCAAGGGAAATGATCAGAATTATCTCCAAAGCAGCAGCCGGGCATTCCCATGCGGTCCAGAAATCTTGCTTTGTTTTCAAAGATAACTTTCTTTCTATATATAAACGTGAATCTGAATATAGTTACATAAAACCCAGTTAAAAATATTGAACAGCATATGTGGAATTATTTTTCCTACCATAAAAAAAGAAAATGCAAAAGTATTTAGTTTGCTGTCACTGGTAGAAATCTGATTTGAGAAACCAAATGGGAACGGTGTTAAATTTCCACTGACTTTATAAGAGCACAATTCAGTTTCATGTGTAGCAGATTCATGACACATGCCATACAACGTCTAAACAACAAATATTATGGAACTTGAAGAAAGCAATGCGTATTTTTTTCTTCCTTTAATTTTTTTTTTGTTAATTAACTTTGGGGTACTGTTGATGCTGAACCCAGGGTTCCCATAAACCGAACAAACATTCTATCACTAAGTCCCTGAGGCGCTCGTTTCCAGAGACGCCAGTTTTTAAGAGACACCATAATTTGAGTTGAGACTTCTGACTTACAGCTCCTGAACACATATAAAGGCCTTGTATCCATGAAACGGATTGCAGCTAGATTTGTAGTATCTGCTTCTGTATAGTATTATTCCCTGAATATTCCCATAATGACTAGTGTTTAAGAGACCGTACTATAAATTAGATATTTTGCTAGTTGGGTTGGGAGCATCATCTTTGTTTTTCTCAGTAAGTCCATGACAAGAACAATATAATCATACAAATGTAGAGGAAAAAGTAAATGGGTTTGGAGAGGTGTAGCAGTTTATCCGGAGACAGGGGAGAGACCTGTCCCAAGTGGACACAAGTCCAAAACTGACGCTCTTCCGCTGTGCCCGTCACCATGGCTTGTGCAACCTACAGCCTTTCACCCTTGCTGTCTGGAGACACTGTTGTTGCCAAACCTCGAGAACGAAAAATGGCAGCCTGTTCAAAATGGTGAATACAGCAAAAATTCACACTGTGTCTTTCTGCAGCCTGCTATCTCTGCAGCCATGGGCTTTCTCCCAGCTCCTGCAACAGGAAGGAAGCCATGAAGCAGGAGGCTGAGGAAAAGGCTGTTAGCTCTGACATTTTGAACTGAAAATGTCCCTCACACTGCAGATGGCAGGGGTAGAGGCTCACCTGAACTCAGGTTCCCAGGACCACCGGTGAGCGGATGTGCCAAAGCTGATCTCAAGAGAAGGTTTGGACCAACTTAGCGTTTTCCCAGTGTAGACTAGACAATAAGTTATGGGGCAATGGGGATTCTGCAGCTGGTCAAATTTTAGCCCTTTATCAGTGCAAACAAAATAAAAACATTCATCCTGTAGCTACTTTTATGTGAAATACACCTTCTTCATAATATCCATAAATTATGTGATATATATTTCACATGATCTGTATATTTAAAATAAGGAAATGTAAATATGTTTATATTGTAAGATACAGATGAATATGTTTACAATTCCTTAAAGCCTTTTTTTTTCTGCTATCCAATTCGAATCTGATAAAGCAGTGTGCATATAAGGACTTGCAGAGGTCACTTAATTAAGAGCAATAAAGTTTATTTTACTTTTTTATAAAATAATTTCTTACAAAAGACCAGTGACTCATGGGGTGATCTGAGGATTATCCCCAAAGAGATCATGACTATCACTAACTCTCAGGAATTATTGAGTTGTGAAGTGCTCGGAGTGAGTCTTTTCTATTCCTAGCTAATGTCAGGGTGGAGGCAGACATCTCAAGCATGTGTTATCACGGGGCCACTAAGATGGAAGAGGAGAGAACAGGTGGCAACAGGTGTTCGCTAATCTCCCTGAAACAGGTGACACCTCAGACGGTCCCATTTAATCTGTGAGTAAGAGCTAGCCATCCAACACATGCCAGGGTTGATGACATCTAAAAGAGAGTAGGCTGTTGGGGTTTTTGGTTTTGCCTTTTGCTTGTTTTGTTTTTTGTTACTTTGACAAGGAATCTTAACATATAGTTCTAATTGGCCTGGAACTTGATAATGTAGACCAGGTAAACTTCCAACTCACAGGTCTCTGCCCACCTCTGCTCCCCAAGTACTGGGATTAAGGGTATACACAGATGCAACCACTTATTTTAATTTTTAGATGGCATTGACTGACTTCCTCCTGTAGATTTGCCTGACGCTATTTCAGCCCTCAAAAGCTATGGTCCCTACTGAGCAATGTAGGTAGAAAATGTTAGTGATAATCAATATCTTTCTTTCATCCATATATTCGCCTTTCAAAACATGTGGTCCTCTAGATCTACACATTTTTTTCCTAACCAGATGCATTTCAGGAAGAAACAGAAACAAGTTGGTATGAATATTTGAAGTAGATCATCGTTAGCGTGTTACACTTCATCATGAGGCATTCAGACACCAGAGCAGGCTTCTAGATCAGGTTTGCCACCTGTGCTGTGGGGTACACACAAACGGGCTAAAATAAGACGCCCTAATATTCTGATACTTAGTCAATCATTCGTTACATCCCACAAGCCATTACTGCAGACAGCTGCGTGGCTATTCCAAGGGTTCTTTTCATAAGCTTTTCAATTGCACCAGTTGCTGTCCAGAGAGGCCGAGTGAGGAGTCCAGCCAAGAGGCACTTCTGCAGAACAGTGCCACAAAAGAGGCATGAGGGAGGGAAGGAAGAATGAAAGTCAGAAACACACTGGAAACTGGTTCTGAGTATCGATCAGTAGGATACAGGGGGAAACAAAAACTTTTCCTCCCCTTCTCAGTCCCGACCATCTAGCCTGACTCAACTGATGTGCTTATGATTCGCTCGATTGCTTGTCCTGGCTTCTATGTCTTTAAAGGAGGCAGGGTTAAGTCAGAGACTATATGGAATGGCTCTTTTGGGTGACTGAGACAGTCATTAGAAGGTGACGAGAGACAGAAGCAGGTCAATGAAGATACAAAAAAGAAGAGAATTGTGATGTTAATGAAAATCAAGAATTATCCAGAAAGTTAGAGGCAGAAAAATTCGGTCAAGTAGCTTTGCTCTGCCCAGGAGAGCAGCCTCCACCGGCAGAGAAGCTGGACTAAGAATAGTCTAACCTGGGAAGTACTGTGACTATTAACTGTGTATCAGAAATCATGGTCTTTGTGTACTTTAAAAAGTGCAAATATCTCTTTGGAATTTTGTGTTCACTATCTACCAAAATTATATTTGGATTTGTTGAGCTAATCTTGTTATGTGGCTTCTTAAATACTTTTTTTTTTAACTTCTATAATGGCCACTGGGATATTTAAAATCATATGTATCCATTGCATTATATTTTCTTTGGCTGGTGACACTAGTCAAGGAGTTTGAAATATCATTAGTTGTTAAATGTAAATTTGAATATTGACTCAGATTTAGCTAAGGAGAATTTAAATAGCAGAGCCAGGAGTTGGGTGGAGTGAGGTGTCGATCAGTAAACATTTAGGGACTTCCGGGTGGGGGAGAGGAGGACGGTCTAGGGAGCCTTCTGCAGAAGCTGAGCTTATTCGCTAAGCATTGGAAGGTGAGGGGCATTGGCTTAAAAAACACTCTTTTCTTTGACTAGAGGAGGTACAGTTCTTTACAGTGGGGGACTGGGTGGTGCATAAGACTGGAAGGAAGGAGCGAACCAGACTAAAAGGGAAGTTGAGGAACGCTTTAAGTGTCTACTAGCCTTGAACAAGGGAGGGCTAGCTTTATGAATGGAACATTCTCCTAACGAAAGAAACAAATGAAGAAAGTCGGAGAAGAGGGTGGCGGGCTTCCCAGAGGCAGCAGGGACTACTCTATGCACCCTGTAATGTTACTGCCCACCCTCTTCCTTGATTGAGGCAACAAATGATGACACAGACATAAGACTGGAAGGTATTTGCCCAGGTCCATGCAGCCGGTAAAGAAGAAAGTCAGTCTGGAGCAGTTAAGACCACGGTCAGAGTCCGTGCTTTCTGATCCAGCCCAATCTCTTCCTTCTCCACTCTGGAGAAGCCTGTGTCTATGAACATTTTTAAAACAAAACTTGTAAGGCAAGGCCGGAGCCACAGGGTCTGATTTGAACATGGAGGTACCATCAGGGGGCTCCACAGAAGCTGCAGTTAGAGAAGAGAATAGAAGCCTGAGTCCAGCTGTCAGAATGACATGAGGACGAGACAGCCCGGGCAGAGGTGACAGACAGAATTCTATCTATTCATGGTCTATGACATGGAGGACACAGCAGCAGAAAATGTTCTATGAAAATCAGAGGAGAAAAGACCCGGAAGCAAAAAACGGTGAAGGCTGTAAAGGCCGAGGCGCTGCACCAGACCACCGTGAGCCACGTTTCTCTCCTCAGCAATTTGCTCGGCAAACTGAGATGAAGTTTTAATTTTTATCTTTATTTAAAACTCTTCAAGGAGAGATGAGCTAGCAAAAAGAAATTCCAACCATCTTCACAGAAACGCATTTTAAAAATAATAATGTCTTCAAATAACTTTGATTTTCTCTTCCTTGTACAGAACAGTTCTTGGCACAGAACCAACTACTGCTAAGACAAAAAATTTTAAAAATTTGACAAGGAATAAAAAGGCATCAATTGTTTTTATCTTCCCCAGCCCAAGGATTTTTGACAGTCCTCCTGTCCAATTACCAGAAGCACCATGTCTGCAATTAGAGTTGGTGTCACAGTTCTAATGTTTACTTAGATTTTTTTTTCCCTTTGCTTATAGCAGAGAAAGCAATTGTCTTTATCTTGT